CAAAAGTATCTTTTAGCCTTTTATAATTTTTATACATCTTTTTCTACTTTTCCAGATAGTGAATTCTTACGATGCCTTAAAATATTTGCTGCACAACTGATCTACATTGGGACCCAGTTCTAGAATCAGTGCATCTTAATTCCCAAGTTGTTTCAGTGAAATGACGTAATAATAAATTCCCAGTAACTACAAGTGATTTCAGGTTTCCATCTGCCTTGAGGCTTCTTGATATATGCCATTTCAGGGACAGAAGGGATCAGAGGAAAAAAAAAGTAAATGTTGATACAATAGCCCAAAGTAAGTGTCAGCCAAAACAGCACAAAGATTCGCACAGTCCTTCTAAAGCTTTGCACAATGTTTTCCATATCTTTCTCAACTGTACAAGACAAAGCAATAGATCTGGGGTTTTAACAAGTCTTTTTACCTAAACAGAGTCAGTGCTCCTAAACAGCAATGTTTCTCAGCGTACTGCTTTCCATTTCCTCTTTGGTGGGGTCTGAGGTTTTGTTTGGTTGGGGTTTTTTTGACAATGGAAGTTACTCTAAAAGCTTTGTCTTGAGTGGTACCCCTCATTAACGTTTTCATCCAAGGTACTACAAAAGATATCACACGCCACAGTAGAACTTTCCTAGAAGTTGATAGCTTTATTCCCATGCAGATACATACGAAAAAAAAAAAAAAAAGAAAAAGGAAAACTTAAAGAGGCTGCTCATCTGGATGCAAATTTACGATGAATTGACAATAAATCAGCTAGCAGCTCATGTCCATCTCTAAGGTACGGACATATCGATATTTGTGTATATAAAACATTAAAGGAAATATGGAAGACAAAAAGAATTATTTTAAAGGAGCAAATCCTATATAATTGTTTAAACTGGGGAAGGTACCCAGTTGATGAGTATAAATAAATTGTTCACACATTCGGTGAGACACACACTAACCATTCATGTCTCCTAGCAAGCTGCAACCTGTTCAAGGCTACTGAAATGTGAGGGGGGGGAAAAATCCCAACCACCCACACCTTTTTTGTCCAGCCAAATCATCCAAACAGAAATTAATAAAGCTCAGAGCTTTCATAAGACTTCACATCTTCAAAGTACCGAGCAGACATTAGCTAATCAATGAATTCCCCTGTCTTGAATCCAAAGTGCATTAGAGGAACGGAGGCCAAATCACAAAGGTTCAGGCAAGCCTGACCTCAGAGTGGCTTGCCACCACCAGGGCTGGCTGCAACCCCTCCAGGAGGTGGTCCAGCACTCCTCTGCCTTATGGTGCACTGCCCTTTCCACAGATGACTCCAGCCAGCTGCTACCTCCCAGCCAAGTGATAACTCAGAGCGGGACACCCAAAAGTCACCTTCAGCACCCGCTGCTTGAATCCTGCTCGTTCAGAAGCTCGGCTACAGAGGATTCGCCTCCCAGGTGCCCTTTCTGATGGCAGCCACAGGACAACCGAAGGCTCCTCAGCAAACCTGCACCCTGCCACCTCCACGCTGAGGGGAAATGGTGTGTGGGAGCGAGCTCGGGCAGCAAAGAGTCTAGCAGAAGCTCACTGCCCCAGCTGGCGCAATTTCAAAGCAGTTGTCACCTTTGGTCAGCCAACACAACCAGCCTGGCCTCCACGTGCAGCACAGGCCGGCCGTTGCCACCT